AATGCAAATGATTTTCCATGCCTGGTCAGGATCAAGAGATATTCACATGTAGACTAGCGCCACGAAGTAAGAAGGATCTAGAGATATTTTATAAGCGAGATATTCACATGTATACTAGCGCCACGAAGGGAGAAAACTCTGAACTACTGTCCACCAGCGAAAAGATCTTGACTTCCTCTACAACTTATAACCATTGTTATAACTATGCGGCTTATAACCGGCTGCGATCAAGGTTAAAGTGACTTCCTCGCTCCACTCTGCCGTCACTTTTTCCGAATTCATTTCGACGTCCCACATGGACTTGGAGCTCCAACCAGCGTTGCCAGAATATTTTAAAGCTTGTCGGTATCAAAGGTTTTAAAAAATCGGTATTTATCGGTTTTTACTATTTTAATTAATTTGATATATTTGCCGTTTTCGATGGCGAAATTTTTTACTTTCGGACTATGATCGGAAATTTCTGGAAGAAAACTCCGTGGAATGTTTGAATTAGCTTCTGGAGGAAGCTGAAAACAACATCCAGAGAAAGAATAAATAAGCTCTCCTGGAGGAAATTTGAGGAAAGTTCTGAGAGAAGTCGGAAAAACATCCGCGGATCTTCCAAGAAATAAGTTGAAAAACTTCTGGCGAAAATTTAAAGAAACTTTCAGAAAAAAATCGGATTTCGGAAATTTGAAATAAATTCCAGAAGTAGCCATTTCCAGAGGAAGCCAGAAGAAGCTCGGGCTTTAGAATTTCGACAGAAGTTATTGAAACATTCTTTAATTTATCGAAACTTACTTAAAAGTCTGCACTTTTCTGAAGTCAGTTAGTTTTCTTTACTATGGAGGCTTTCAGCCTGAGGCTGGTTCGCCTCCGGTGTTTTCTGAAGTTTCAGAACTTTTTAAAAGTTCCTGCAGCTAATGTGGATCCGCAATCAAAATCTAGAAGCATCCCTGAAGTTTGTAACCAGTTGGTTACAATCCGTGGATTTTCGTTTGTATGAGTTGTTGTTGTTTGGAAAATTCACGTATTTTAATATCAAAGACAGAAGGCAACACACAGCCGCGAGAGGGTTAGTACCGCTGCAAAAACACTTGAACGATACTAAAGGGAGAAAAATCGTAGTCTTAAGCTATAAATGGAGAATAATCGGCAAAAGGCATGCGAGTGGCTATCTTCTAAAAGAAAAACCTTCTAATTGGCAGAAGTAATCAAGCGTCCGTGTAGACCGGTATCGTAAAGTGTAGTGCCATTTAGTGTACCCCCCCCCCCGCTTGTGGGGTTTCTGGGATGTTGGACTGCCTCCGTTCAGGTAATTTACTTTTTATTATCCTGACGGAAATTTCCCTGAATTATGACAGTTCTCAGGACCTCGTACCGTAAACAAAACGGTTTTACACGGCTCGGCTCGGATGTCAAGATGGCTTCCGAGCCTAATAGTAAATGATCCTCGCTCGTCCGTCAGCGACGATTCCCTCAGGCCGGTGGCCTTAATTGCCAAGGAGGGTCCCGTCTCGGCTCGACCAAGGTGGCCATGCCACGGTCAGCCGATTTTGTCAACGACGGAAGACGCCTGCCAGCCAAACGAGCCAGCAACGCCTGCTGAGCTGTATGTGGCTGATGAACGCCACCAGATCCGCCATTCTCCCAAAGCTGCAACAACACTGTCTGCAGCCCGCGCCGCAAGTTTCCGGCCACACGGTAGTGCAGGAGCAGCCGTGTGGGCCAACGCCAGCGTCGCGACGCCGTAGGAGATCCCGCTGCAGCGGTGAGTACAGTGCAAATTTTAAAACCCTCGCCTAAACGCCACATATATGTGAAAACCCACACCCACACGCCACAGAATAGGGCAAATAAATGTGTTATAAAATGTGAATATTCCTGTGTTTCATACTTTGTCCGCGTAGCCCCTCCGAATACCCAGTAACATGCCGGCCCTGCGACACAGTTCAGGGGTCTCATGCTACTGAACTAGTTACCCGGGAGTGTCTGGTCATGCCATAGTCACAAGTTCCGGGAAGAATCATTCGAGCGAAGGCTGAAGAAGCTTCCAAGAGAAGTCTAAACAAGTTTCCGAGAGGAATCGTCAAAAGAAAATTCCAGGGGAAAGTTGGAAGAAAATCCAGGATGTTAAATAATGTTTAAAAAGTATTTCCTGATTCGCCCGGAATTACCAGAAAGAGCCATCGACTGTTTATCGATTCATGGGTAGCCAAAACGGTGGGGAAATTGAAACATTAATCGAAAGAGTATCCATAAGACATTTTTGATGATGATTTTTTTAGAATTTTTAAGTCTTAAAAAATTTGAGATATTCAAAAAGATACAAGTCTCACACAATAATTTTCTCCGAAATTCTGAGCGCAGGCAGGCAATAATCATTTTGATTATTTAAAAAATCGGTATAAATCGGCATAACACCTCAAAAATCGGTATTCTGAGGAACCTTATCTGTGTATCGGTATCTAGTTCAGAAATCGGTATAAATACCGATAAATCGGTATATCTGGCAACGCTGGCTCCAACACTCTTCACATCGTCGAAAGTAGTCAGTTTTGCCATCATCAAAATGCTCACAACACAAAAAAATTGATTTATTTTCGGGAACCGCTAATTTCACAATTATTTGTTGATGTTTGCTACTCAAGAAATTTCAGAGTGTCAAATAAATTATTCGATAGTATTGAGCAAACATGCTGGACAAACAATAACAAAAGGCATCACACTATTTGACAAAATGCCAAATAATTGAAATGTCAAATATTTGCCATAGCAAAAATTGGTCAAATATATTTGGCCATTATACTTTGGTCAAATATATTTGTCCAAATTTGCCAAATATCTGGCGTTTTGTTTTTTGATGATAGCTTAAGTAACATTGATCGATTCTCTTCGTCGACTTTCTCTTTCGTTAATAAATTGAACACATAACAGTCTCTTTTTGTGATTGTTGTAATAGATGCTGGATGAAAGCTTCTTTTATCGATCGGTGTGCTTAAAATACCTGGGAATGTTTTTACATGACCGTGGGAATGCAAAGAGGAAGTCGACGAAGAGAATCTGTCAATGTTTCTTAGGACCTAATGCAAAGTTCAGCTTGATTTGTTGTGCGGAATATGTAAAAAGGAGGGACTTCGGATGTTAATCTAAATTAATATATATAGAGGTACCATATATGTTTTGACCGCACTGCCCTCTGTTAACAATTTACGGAACTAAGTGTATGGGTAATTTCTGATAGATGTAACCATTAAGAACAGCAGTGACATCTGAAGAAAATTAACGCAGAAGCATGGTAGCATGATTAATTCTGTCATTTAGCAGCATGTCTTTACTAGGAGCATGCAGCTTCTGAAAAACATTGTATTTTATTAGATATAACCAGTATATTTACCAACACAATTTTAATTATTTCCTCCTCCTCCTCCTCCTCCTCCTCCTCCTCCTCCTCCTCCTCCTCCTCCTCCTCCTCCTCCTCCTCCTCCTCCTCCTCCTCCTCCTCCTCCTCCTCCTCCTCCTCCTCCTCCTCCTCCTCCTCCTCCTCCTCCTCCTCCTCCTCCTCCTCCTCCTCCTCCTCCTCCTCCTCCTCCTCCTCCTCCTCCTCCTCCTCCTCCTCCTCCTCCTCCTCCTCCTCCTCCTCCTCCTCCTCCTCCTCCTCCTCCTCCTCCTCCTCCTCCTCCTCCTCCTCCTCCTCCTCCTCCTCCTCCTCCTCCTCCTCCTCCTCCTCCTCCTCCTCCTCCTCCTCCTCCTCCTCCTCCTCCTCCTCCTCCTCCTCCTCCTCCTCCTCCTCCTCCTCCTCCTCCTCCTCCTCCTCCTCCTCCTCCTCCTCCTCCTCCTCCTCCTCCTCCTCCTCCGACGTGGACGGTGGACGTATGCAAAGATGCTTGCGACCTGGCTTGCGACTGGTGACTGAAATCTAAATCTTAATTTCAGTGCCAACATTTCAAAGGGGCGTAATTGCATTTGTAAACAATGGTTTTAGTCGTCGATTTCTCGTGAATGAAAGCTCACTCATAAAAATGAATGACACCAGCAGGTAGAGAAATGTTTCCTGTACCAGCTAGCATTGGTAATTTGGAAGGGTGGGCTTTTATTTGCGAGAAATCGACGGCTAAAGCCATTGTTTACAAAAGCAATTACGCCCCTTTGAAATGTTGGCACTGATTTGGTGTGTATGAGTTCATTCTTTCCAGTACTTTATTCAAGGCCTGCTAGCAATAGCAGAGCAGAATTGAAGCTTACTTTAGGATTTAGACTTATTATTATTACTTGGATAAACTAATAAAAATGCTTTCAACTTTCAACAGTCCGTGATAGGGAAAAAAAATGAAATTTCTTAATACGACATGATCCATATCGCATACGAACCTGCCAGTTTATTTCCTTTCCCACTACAATGCTGATGTACCCCGGTAAAATGCCATTTCCATATCCAGTAGAGGCATGTACCTGCCTGGACTGCAAACAGAACATATATCCCGATGTAAAAGTAGCAATTGCTGCTTACAGAAACGCAATTCCGAACATTTGGGAAAGGTTCTCGGAAAGCAAGATCCATGAAATAAAAAGTAAGCAAAAAAAGTCAGACTGGAGCAAGATAAATATCGTTCAAAGTAGCTGTCGGAAATTTCTTCCCCGGTGATGAAGGTGGTGACGTCGGTCGGTTGGAAGAGGAAAAGTGAAGCGCTGTCTGTCCGACTCCGGACAGGCAGGGGGTGAATCTATGCTCTATCACCACGTGTGATAGGGTTGTGTACAGACAGCGTGCTCGAGTTGAAGAGGGTCCCACACTGCTGCTGTGTGTAAAAAAGTGGAATATAAATTATGAACGGATGATAAAAGGCAATAAAAATAAAAGGTAAATTTTATCGAGTGAGGTTGATCTATTGGCTTGTAGGTAGGTGTAGCATATCCTTTTTTTTCCCCTTCACTAGCCACCGCAGCTCCGATTTGGTGTGGGGTGTTGTCGGTATTAAATGGCTCCAGCAGCTCTTATCGGTTTACACTGATTTATTTACCTGTTGGGTGCAAGGGTCCATTCCTTGTGGCCATTTCGCAGTGATTTCCGACACAGCAACTTGAAAGGGTTGGGCAATGGTTTCTTCTTCTCCGCCTCCGCCGGTCTAGATCGGTTTGTGTCTCGCTCTAAATTGACATTGATATGATCTAATCGGATGGAAAATGAAATTCGTGAAACGTTTTGTGAACAAGGGGTATTAGAGCTAGACGGATTGGATTATCAGGTGTGTTTGTGTCTGTGGAAGGGAATTAATCTAATTGCGATGATCTGCTGAAGCCAATCGGGATGACGTTTTTTTTGGAACGCTTTCTATGGAAATCCACCGCAGCTGTTTGGGTGGAAGGCACTGGTGTCGTTAAAAATAATCGTGACGATAAATCAAGCATATGAGTATGCGTTCAGTCCTTTTTCATTCCACTCAATGATGGTGAAAATGGTTTATATTTCATGCGTTTTTGGTTCGGTGAATTTTTTAACTTGTGGTCTGACTGGCAGTCGCAATCAGTTTGTTGGAATTCTGCGGGTGGTTAACAAATTTTTTTGTTAGTATTGGATTGTGAGTTAGTAACAACGCGACCCGCTTCATTATTCAGCAGATTCCCACCATCACACCAGATCCCAAACAATAAACACTTTCATCAATTAGCCGAGTCAGCTAATTGTATGTCAAGTCAGACGATAGCCAGATTGGATCACTTTCGCTGGAATCACGACGATTATCGATAGCATGATGTCACCAGACCACCCAGCAGGAAAATCACCAGAACGCATTAGCAGCATTAGTAGAAACATATAAACACCCGCATTGTTCCCACACTAACCAAGAACTAACTTCGTAGCATACGTCGAATTTGTAAATTAGTCTTAATCGATCAGTGAATAAAAGAGGAGCATAGCTCCTAAATATTTTTTTTTGAGTTTCTCTCCGGAGAAGTTCTTAATATCTGAATATCCGTAGCGAGTTGTAATATGAAGCGTTTATTTTAGTAATTTTAAAATAGTTAGCATCGATGAATCCAAAACAGATTTCTAATGAAATAAGAATCAAAAAGAACCAAATCATCCAACGCCAAAAGCTCTTCATAGAAGTATCCGATAAGGGTTTGTGATTCAAAAATAGGACATTTACTATGTTTCAAATCGTAGAAACCTTTCCAGCAACATCGGTTCTAGAATGTAACTAAACTTGCAAGCTATATAGGTAAAACAATAAAACATTTCAATTCCCGCAAGATTGCTCTGAGCACTCGTGAAACTCATCACAAACTGACACACGAACAGACGGACGGAGTAAATCACACATCATTTCGTTCCGGCAGATAAAATTGCCACTAAAAATCTACACCACTCCCCCAACATAGAAGGGGGAAAATGAGTCTGCTATCCGATCCAGATCTAAAAAGGACTTCATCGTCATCCATAGCGCTTTACCTGTGTGCAGCTCAACCTCCACAACCTCCGTCTCCGTCTCTGTTCGTGGTGCGTCCTGCTCATTGCAGTGCACGTGGGTCGTTGAAACAAGAGCCAGCGAATAAAAAACTATCAACTTGAGATCCTTGTGAAATAAACCCATCTTGAACTCGTCTTCGGGGTTGCTCGCTCGGTTGAATATCACTGGAGGTGGATCGAGTGAGGTAGATAACAACATCAGCAAAGAGGTTCAAGATAGTTCCGTTTCTTACACTTAAGAAGGGTCAAGATTTCCCGAAAATTTCAATTTGTGTGCTGTGCACTAGTTTGTAATAATTAGCTTTTAATCAGCATTACATAATGCTGAACAGTGAATGACTTACCCAATGGTATAATTCTGAGCTAAGCTTTGTCGCTTGACCTGCTGAATACGGCAATGTTTTACTTAGGCGGAATATAGGATAACACAAGACTCTGTTTGCCTTCTAAAGGGTGTACCGTTTAAAATCCGCACACACTCAAATTGCTCTAGCTTTTGATCAGTTGGGAAAAATTAATTTATATTTTGCGTAGACATAGTTTAATGTGTATTGTTTACACTCTGTTAGTTGATTTCAAGCTGAACATTGCATTAGGTCCTAAGTAACATTGATCGATTCTCTTCGTCGACTTTCTCTTTCGTTAATAACTTGAGCACAGAACCGTTTCTTGATGTGTTTGTCGTATTAGATGCTAGATAAAAGATTCTTTTATCGATCTGTGTGCTAAAAATACCTGGGAATGTCTTCACATGACCGTGGGGATGTAAATAGAAAGTCGGCGAAGAGAATCTGTCAATGTAACTTAGGACCTAATGCAATGTTCAGCTTGATTTCATCCGCTGCGCAAAAGGGTGAGAATAAGGATCTGTCGCATTCCACGGTGTCTTGTATCATAAAACGGTTCGCAGAACGTCTGACTGTTGATCGGAATCGAAGATCCGGGAAAAAAACCGTCAGGTCAACGAGAACGATCACAAACGCGTGGTTGGGGCCTTTAAACGGAAACCGAACGCTTCAGTTCTAGATGTGGCTAAAAAGATGCATGTGAGCAAAACTTTCGTGCAGAATTCCAAAACTCGAGCTGGACTACGTACGTTTAAGATTCAGAAATCCCCAAACCGTGACGAGAAACGGAATACCGTCGCTAAAATCCGTGCCCGGTAGTTGTACGACCAGAAGTAAACGAAATCACACTGCTGCGTAATGGATGACGAGACATATGTGAAGGCGGACTTCAACCAGATTCCAGGAAAACCTGTATGTGACTGCCAAGGATAAGTGTGATTTTCCCGAGAACCTCCGGACACAGAAGATGTCGAAGTTCGCCAAGAAGTTCTTAATTTGGCAAGCGTTTTGTACTTTGTTATCGCAAGCACCATGAATGGACAGGTGTATTTGGAAGAGCGTCTCCAAAAGCGGCTTCTCCCTCTCCTGAAGGCTCATGACGGTCCGACGATCTTCTGGCCGGATTTGGCATCATGCCACTACCCACTACACGAAGGACGTGCTAGAGTGGTATAAGGTGAATGATGTCGATTTCGTGCCGAAAGATCTGAACCCCCAAATCAAACTGGAGAAATCTCGCGTCACTTTACAAAAGTCCTTAGTAACAAATGTAAACAAATCGAGCTAAGCGATACAAACTATTGCTCTTCTATCATTGTATGTGGTACAAAAACACCAATTCAAATTTACTTTAATTTATTTAAGATAATCATAGGTCAAAAATGTCCAATGCACAGTTTGAAATGATGGGTACGTGATTGTTACTTCGGTCATTCGGACTACCTTCCCTAATAAAAAATAACCATAAACGAACGATAACCCAAATAATAGAACTATTCCACAAATGGTTTGGATTATACCCGGAACACGTCGTTAAGCAAAATAACCATAATAATTTTATTAGGGTTACATGATTGGTGCTCATTTTCTAAAGGCGGGGGCAATCTAAAGTTAGGTACATGTAGAACAAAATGTCCAAATGAGTGTTACATTTATTATATCATTAACATCGTCTAATGTAACATGTCCGATGCACAACTTGACTAGTCAAAACGTCCTATGTGTGTTTTCCTATATTGTAGCATAAAATTCAAAGTAAAATTGTGAAAGTAACTCCAAAATATCCAAAGAATACAATTCAGTGCAAGGCTTGATTACAGATTTATTTGGAATACAGCTAAAATCATTCATATTTGAGAGAATATTGAGGAACATATAGAATAGGTTGCAGGAGATTTAGATAATTGTGTAGTTCTAAGTACTGCTCGATGCATTGAAAGATCTTTGTGTTCTTATGAACTTCTAAGGCCTGCTGGAGTTTCAGAAGTTCCTTAGTTTTGAACGAACTTGAAATCTTACTGTCAGAGTTGCTTCCATCACTTCCGTATAAAATAATCTTACACTTCTTAGAAGATCCGATAGTTTTCTCATATCCAAAATGGGGTTCACTAGGCCAAATTGGTCATTACGATAGATGTTCACTTTTTATGATAAGGCTTCTGTACAGATTCTGTATTCTTCTGGTTCACTTAACGTTCGGTAGCCCAAACATGCATTTCAAATGGGGATTCTTTTTAATTATCGGACAGGTTTGAGCCGAAGGTTCTATGAAATTTCGCCCACAGGTATAATTCATGATCATATGAACGTAACATATGGGCTATAAAATGGTGAGTTGACAACCTGGAAGGAGCGGAACACCTAGCTCCGGTCCTCACAAGTTCCTACATAACGCCTCCCCCAGTCATATGACAACAAAAGACTACCAGCTGAAACTCTAGATACTATAGATTCCATAGATAAGCGGAGGCACACAAAGTTGTTTTGGCAACCATGAAAAATAAATGATCTTACTGGCATCCGTGAAAAAAAGTTCATGCCATCATAGAGCTCTTCGTTGAACAGTTTTGTTTTGTTTTGTGCGCAATAGGGTAAATGTCGGCTTCGGCACCCATTGACTGTTTTCGGCAACCAAAATTTAAACGTTAATTTCACTACGTTTTCCCAACAACACACTTCCCTGAATGCATCCAAACGATTCTTTAGTCTTTCAGCTTCAATCTGATTGTATGTGTACGTCTGAGCAGTCCTGTTATGGCAGATTTTTCTTCAAATGAAGCATACGTACTCTAAAATGGGGTTGATTTCAAGTTGCCGATAATAGAACAGCTGGTTAACACGCAGTTCTAATGGGAAGGTTGCCGAAGAAAACGAGGCTGCCGACAATAGTCACACTCACCTGAGAAGTTTGGAGCGTTGTAAAAACGCTTTCAAACAGTTTTGAAGAATTCTGTCGATTAAAATGGATAGAGAAGCAAGCAGCAGATGAATGTAAACCAACAGACACGTCATATATGTGCGTGACGCTGAGAAAATGCTAATAGAAGTGTGGACATTGCTTAGATTGACGAGAATACGTAAATTCCCCTAGTTCAAAATGAAGTGCAAAGCAAATCTTTGCAACAATGAACCGAGGAATGGTTTGCTTTATCTTTCGTTCTTCCGTTGTCCGTAAAATAAATCGGAATGTGGAGTGTGGAAAGCGTTTGGTGCTCATAATATTACAATACTTCTCCCTCAAACAACACCATGATGACGTCATGCTCGTTTGGCTACACAAACTGACAGTTCGTTTGGCTACATTATACTTTGCCTCCGCTTATCTATGGAATCTATAGTATCTATAGCTG